CAGGGGCACCATTCTTCCCACTGACACAGGGGCACCATTGCTCTCACTGACACAGGTGCAATATTCCTCCCACTGATCACTGACACAGGGGCACCATTCCTCCCACTGACACAAGGGCACCATTCTTCCCACTGACACAGGGGCACCATTGCTCTCACTGACACAGGTGCAATATTCCTCCCACTGATCACTGACACAGGGGCACCATTCCTCTCCACTGACCATTGACACAGGGGCACCATTCCTCTCCACTGATCATTGACTCAGGGGCACCATTCCTCCCACTGACCATTGACACAGGGGCACCATTCCTCCCGCTGACCACTGACACAGGGGCACCATTCCTCCCACTGACCATTGACACAGGGGCACCATTTCCCCACTGACCATTGACACCATTCCTCCCACTGACCATTGACACAGGGGCACCATTCCTCCCGCTGACCACTGACACAGGGGCACCATTCCTCCCACTGACCATTGACACCATTCCTCCCACTGACTATTGACACAGGAGCACCATTTGTCCCACTGACACAGGGGTGCCATTCCTCCCACTGACAACTGATGCAGGGGCATTTATTACTCCAAACAACTGATATAGGGACATGTATTTTATAGACACAGGGGCAAGTTTTACTTTTACTAATGCATGGGGCATTTTTTACATAGAAGCAGAGGTATTTTTTGCTTTTACTGACATGGGGCATTTTTTTACCTCCATGGAAGTGGGGGCATTTTTTGATTTACTGACCTAGAGCCATTTTCTTTTTTTTACTGCTAATGACCACTAAGGTTGTGGCATTTTGTATTCCTGACCACTGATGCACTACTTACAACTGATTTAGGAGCATTTTTTACTCCACTGACCTCCAACACAGGGGCATTTTTTACTCCCACTACCCACCAATGTGGGGGCATTTTTAATCCCACTTCCCCCTTTCCTAGGGCATTTTTTACTCCCATTGAATAATGATGAAGGGGCATTTTTTAATTTTTTTTACTCCCAGTGACTATCGATGTAGGAGCATCTTGTCCTCCCACTAACCACCAATGTGGGGGCATTTTTAATCCCACTTCCCCCTTTCCTAGGGCATTTTTCCTACATTTACTACTACTGCCCCCAAACAGTGTGATGGTCAGTAAACTTGTTTAAAACGTTTGGGGTCCCCTGAACTAGGTGGTGCAGGAAAGTTTTTTTTTTTTTTTGTAACCTGCAATCTAGAGGATCCTCTGTAACCAAACATGGACAATCCAATTGTGTCCTGGCTTTTAGTTTACATGCTGGGCCATAGGTGAGATCTCCCTGCTGAGGTATCACACAAACTTTTTTTTTTTATTATTTGTAGGTATGCTGTGTGAATACACAGCCAACATCTAGTGTGGTTTTATCAAAGTTGACAGCAAAAGTGGTAATATGCTTTATGTCTAAATTAAAGCTTGCAGTGTGATTGGTGTGTATCTTCAAAGTTACCAAGTCACTTCCCTAAGATATTAAATCTGACAAAATCCTTTTAAAGTGGAAACAGAGAAATGTTTGAACATACTCTTCTATATTGTCCTGAGTGTCCTTGGATCTCCCATAATTGTAGTCATCAGTATGGACCTGTGTTGAGCATTGGAACTTAATGCCGTCACTGATAATGAACAAGCATTCTCTCAACCACAGCTTCAGGCCTTGGACAGGCACCAGCCAGACACCCTGGTGATGTCAGGGCCAGTGGCGGATCCAAAACTAGGGATGCACCAATACCGTTTTTTTGATATCAAGTACGAGTACAGATATTTTGCTTTTGGTACTCGCCGATACTGAATACCAATACCGCTGCTTCCACTGGCATGGAGCAGGCTTCCAGGGTAATCAGGAAACCTTGTCGCAGATACCGGAGCCTCACATTTGATATTTAAAAGCTAGTGGACTTGTTGAGCAATGGCAGATTGACTTCATACGCTGTACTAAAGGAGCGTTACACCCTACTGGATGCATATCTATTTACATACCTGCAGGTTGCCCAAACCTGCAACAGCCATGTAAGGTGACACTAAACTCAGAACTGAAATCTTAGAAATGCAATCAGATACCTTAACTATTAACAAAAATGTCTCTTATTTGTGTATCACTCGGCTGTAGATCCTCAAATCATCTCTGAATTGGTGCTGATACTGTCCTTCCTTCTGGAGGGTGGCTACTTTTGTTCTCCATGGTCCCTCTGTGTGTTGTAAAGTAGCCACCGCTCCAAGTTATCTCCCGTGATTGGCTACAATCTCATGTTTAGTTTTCTAATTTGTATTGAGATTATAGTCCATCACGGGAGTGAGCTTGGAGTGGTGGTTACTTTACAACACACACAGGGACCATGGGGAACAAAAGTAGCCACCCTCCAGAAGGAAGGACAGTGTCAGCACCAATTCAGAGGTGATTTGAGGATCTACAGCCGAGTGATACACAAATAAGATACATTTTTATTAATAGTTAAGGCATCTGATTGCATTTTTAGAATTTAACTCCTGAGTTTAGTGTCTTCCCTGACTAGGCCCACTTCTACTAAATATGAGTATGTTCATACACACACACGCACGCACACACCCTGGTCTTTTTTATCTGCACCAAAATATATAAAAAAGAGGCCGCTCTTTGACCTTTTCACTAAATTGATCAGAAAATTGGCTGCATGCAGCAGGATTAAGAAATGAAAGCAACAGAGGAGATTGAAGATGATAAATATACCATATACGGAATTCCTTGTTTATCACTATATGAGTCATTCCCAGCACGGGGTATTTGCTTGCTGGGCCTCTACACTACAGCAATGGATCAGGAGGACAGATAAGTTCAAAGAAATATCAACCAAGCACTATCAGCATCCAAGCTGCCCGTACAGCCTCATCCCAATGCTATGTCTTAATAGTGGAAAACACTTACCGCTTATGAAATCCGCATCGCAGGCATGTGAAGAAGAAAAAATAAAAGGTTGTGACAACTACCTTACAACCTACGATTATTTTTAAACAAAATCCTGCATTTCAGTATAAAGCAGAGTTCTACTTTATGGGGAATAGGTCACAAAGTAAGAGAACTTGCCCAGATGGAAGCTGTGATTCTCTATCAGGTTATACAACCTTCCATTCTACTATAGTGGAAGCTATTCAGCTTCACTGCATATGTGGCTCAGGCAGTCAACTGCAAAGCTTCCACCTGAGGCTTCTCGCAGCTATTTTGCTTTGATTGTTCTGGAGTGAGAGCTCTTAGGACTGCTGCATATCTTCCCAGGATTTTAGCACATATTGGGTGGAATTCAATAAAGGCTTAGCGCCACCGCTAAGGTCCATGCCTGAGGCAAATTTTTAAAAGCACTGTCCCGAGTTTCAGTATACCGACATTAATCACAGATTCAGGTAGTTCTTAATACCACCACTTTAAGAACCTCTCAATATGGCCTCGACAGATCCAAAAAGAATTACCAACATTTGTTTAGAAACTGGTGGTAATGAAGGGCAACTCTGAACTGGTGTACAAAGAGACGCCAGTACTTAGAGTGGGGCATATACAGAATGTCCTGGAAAGTGTGAGGAATCTGACAGCTTCCTGTTCATTGGTTGCAAGGACACCAGCCCGGTGGTGTCCTGGCACTCAGCTTAAAAAAAATAATTAAAGTCACCGGCACTCCAAATGATCAAGTGAATAAGTTTATTGACCCAAGTGACGTTTCGGGACCATGCGGCCTCTTCCTCAGGCAAACAGGCACTCTCTGTTTGCCTGAAGAAGGGGCCGCATGGTCCCGAAATGTTGCTAGAGGTGTTATCACTTGGGTCAATAAACTTATTCACTTGATCATTTGGAGTGCCGGTGACTTTATTATTTTTTTGTACGTTTTGACGGAGGCATCCGTTGTTGCTGCTGCACCCGCCCTGATACATTGGGCATTCTCCGTTCAGGGATATATTGACTTTTGATTATCTGGCACTCAGTTAGGCTTCACCGGACCAATATAGGAGATTCCACCGCTGGCAGCTGCATGTAAACAAAGGGGCTGGGAATTATGTCCGACACCATGAATGGTCAGCAGCTGAATGTAAACAAAGGGGTGGGGATGCTGGCTGACTTCATGAATGGTCAGCAGCTGAATGTAAACAAAGGGGTGGGGATGCTGGTTGACTTCATGAATGGTCAGCAGCTGAATGTAAAGGGACTTGGGATGCTGGCTGATATCATGAATGGCTGGCAGCTAAATGGGACCAGGGCTGAGTCACTGGTTGTCTTCTGCAGCACAGCCGACAGCCTGAGTGGGTTTCTATAGCTAATAGCCTGCCTGCAACAGGTCCATAAATCTGGTGCAAGCACTGACATTTTTCGTGCGGATGCAGGACAGGATTCTAAAAAGAGTGTCATAGACACTCTTTATGAATTCCCCCCATTATGTTATATTGCTATATTATAACCTGCTGCTGGCAAGCCATTTCCTACTCCTTCCTCGGCTATCCACCGAGCAATCTGACTGGCAGCAACAGGAGCCTATTACTCCACTGCCCTCAGTACCCTCCTCATAAACCCAAAACACAGGGAACTATACAGGTCTTCCCAGGGTCGGTGGTGGTGAGCGAGGACTGTAGAGAAATGTTTGGGGACAGGGGGGCACAGAAAGGTACTGGGATATTTTATTTACTTTAATGCAAAGAGTGCTACAAAAAAAAAAGCCTACCAATTAGTAGCTCTTTAAAAACGAGTGGTTCTACAGTCAGTGCAGAGCTTTGCCATTACTGTAGCAAAATCATCAGTTTTATTCATATTTAAGCAGACCCTGTCACCAGAATATTAATTGAAACAAAAAAAAAACCTTCCCATAAGAATATACGTCCATTTAGCGTATTTTATGCTTTGCATATATACCTATAGACATCCAAAAGCCCTAAGATAGCTGCTGGATGCCGCCATCTTGGATGTGATGTCTGCAGCCCCAGCGGACTCTCTATAGTATTTCCCTTCGCCCCTTCTTTGGCAGCTACATAAAAGTATATGTAAGAAGGTGAGGGGAGAGGCAGAAGAGCTGGGAGAGGCAGAAGAGCTGGGTCAGCACAGGCAGTAACTAGAAAAATAAGAGTATGCAATTTTCATAGCTACAACTATGCAAGACTGAAGGCAAGGCTGGAGTTTAGGTTTAAATAGTAATTTCACTGTTATTTTTCTTCTTACCACTCCACACAAAAATGAAACAGTCTTCAAATTATTAAAGTGATGAAGAGTACAGCCCCCCTTCCCCTCCACATGGTGGGTTATTCTCAGAGAGGGTGCGATGAGTGAGTTCTATCTGCACTTCTTGAAATTACCTTCAGCTTGTTTTCCAGCTGCCCTTCCACGAGATGGAGGAGAGATTTCTTCTGTCTCAGGGAGTCCAGCCGGCCCTGCTGATACAGTCTGAGCTTCTCCGGTAATTGCTTTTGTAGAGACTTCAGCCTGAAACATAATAGCAATGATAACAAGACACTGTTCAAGTAATAGCCAGCATACTGTATCTTTATATTGGGAGAAAAATAAAGCCAGGCACAACTCGATAGATTTATAAGGCTGCAGACATTTTTTTTTACATTTACTCTGTTATACCATTATATTGAGATGCTCAGTGACACTAGTTTAAAGTAAAAGTCCACTTTTGCAGCCAAATTGGGATAACTTCCACTTCAGATTTGTTACACGTTTCTCATTCTCATTGCATAACTTAATAATATTTACAAATTTCTGCTTCCATTTTAAGTGCTGTATTCTTGCTTAAAAATCCTACCTAGCTTCCCTTCCTATGTAGGGTTAAAGGGGGGGGGGGGGGGGGGGGGCCCAAAAAAGGGTT